ACCTTTCTTAACATTATGTGGTAGCCAGAACCACGACAATGCAGGTGTGTACGTAATTCCATGTAGCGATTGTGACTAAAAATATTGGGGAGAGACCTCTCGAATCCTTCAGATCATGTTGAAAGAAAATCAGCGTGTTTCCAGGACTTGCAACATGCATGATACGAAGGGACCCAACTGGCCATCCTAATACCTTGGAAGGACGTCTAGCTGGTCATAAAAAAAGGGGACACGACACGATGCAGATGCCTGAAAGCTGCACTAATCCAAATGCAAAATACAGTCCAACAGAATCAAGGCTTCAGTTTAGACAAGCCTGCAACACATAAACAGGTCATTGGAAAGACCGGTAGGAATCTTGCAGTGCTCTCACAAAAACATAAGAAAAAAGGAACACTGGCCCATGCGAGGCAGGTTCAATTCTGCTACCGGCTTAAGCCAATGACCCACTTAGTCAGGTCAGGTCACATCAACTTAAGGAAGGAGCACGGCATCAGACCTATTAGCACACGCTAGTCAGGTCCAACTCACACCCACCCACACCTATTCATGTATTTTTCTAACCTATTTTTAAAATTACACAACGTTTTAGCTTCCATTACCAAACCAGTGCTTTTCTGTATCCTTCCTGAATCTGAATTTTTCGAACTTAAAACCATTGCTGCGAGTCCTGTCTTGCCTAGATATTTTTAGCACGTCATTTACATTCCCTTTATTTATTCCTGTTTTCCTTTTATACATCTCAATCGTATTTCCCCTAATTCTACGCCTTTCTAGAGAGTGCAGATTCAGGGCCCTCAGTCTATCCTCACAGGGAAGATTTCTGATACATGGGATCAACTTTGCCATCCTCCTTTGTATGTTTTCCAGAGCATTTATATTCATTCTGTAATACGGTGACCAAAACTGTGCAGTATAATCTAAATGAGGCCTAACCAAGGATATACAGAGCTGAAGAAATACCTGAGAACTGCTATTATTTAAGCTTCTTGATAGGAAACTAAGGATTCTCTTCACTTAATTGTGAACACTTATGCATTGTTGTCTTGGTTTTAGATTACTGCTAACCAGAACTTCCAGATCCTTTTCGCAAGTTCTCGCAGTTCAGCTCACAGTGACCTCACTCACCTGCTTGTTATACATGTCTAGTATACTGTACCAACAAGATGACGAATTAGACACATGTGCAACATCTGGGTATCTTTATTTTAGACATTTCGCCAACCATTGGTTATATCAATATAAATTCAAGGACATAATTGGAGAACAGTAAACCTATATACAAAAGATGAGGTAATCAGTCCCTCAGCCTTGGAGTTGAAGAGTACCATAGTCGTGAAGAATCTTCAGACTATGATACTCTTTACCAACGCCAAGGCTGAGGAACTGATTGCCTCATTTTTTGTATATAGTTCTACTGTCTTCCAATTATATCATCCTTGAACTTGCATTGATATAACCACTGGATGGAGAAACGTTTACAATAAAGATACCCAGATGTTGCACATGTGTAATTCTTCACCTCCTTGTTGTACATTCCTGTGAATTGTGTGATGAAGCCTCCCCCCATAGGGGAAACGTCTCAATAAAGTTTCTGTCTGCAGTTGTGTCTTTTTCACTAAGTCCTAGGCATCTCGAGTCAACTTGTGCTACACCTTCCGAATGATGTAAATAAACTGAACCACATAGGGAAGCTCCAGTTAATTTTTACAAGTGCTGATTTAGGATTCCCCGGATCACGTGTCCTAGAGCTGTCATTCAACTCTCCCCCCCCCTGCGTGGTTGTTTTGCACACACACACACAATATATATATATATATATATATATATTATATATATATATATATATATATATAATATATATATATATATATATATATATATATATATATATATAGTGGGGGTTCGTAGGAGATATGATGGTTGGAGTTAAACACACCTGTTGGATGGTAACACTTATATTGCAGAGTATGAAGAGGGAGGAGGCCCAGCCTGCCTGTAGCTGCTTTGTAGGTCTAACGGGAACTGAGAGGGATCCCAGACGCGAAGGGCTCACCACGGCATCACGTGATGTCACACAAACTAGTCACTAGGCCTAGCAAAGGGGTCGTATATGCAAAACATATGGATGGTACTATGATACTCACATAAGCTATACATATACAGGGGATCAGCAACTATGCTGACACATTATATAATATTATATATATTATATATATATATATATATATATATATATATATATATATATATATATATATTATATATATATAAGGGGCCTACATCAGGGACCTACCAGAAGACAAGGCCATAGTCAAACTTGATTTTAGAAATGCCTTTAATATGGTGAAGAGAGATGCTATTTTGCCAGCTGTTCGGGTTTGGTTCCCCAGTCTCTTTCCCTTCATTTCAGCTGGCTACAGCAAACCCTTAATTCTTTTGTTTGGAGAACATGAAATTCAATCATCAGAGGGTGTTCAGCAGGGTGACCCACTCACTCCACTTCTCTTCTGCTTGGCAATAAGAGAACTAATTTCCAGCCTTTGCAGTGAGCTCAATATCTGGTACCTGGATAACGGCACTCTGGCAGGTACTGAAGAGTCCCTGGTGGGGGACCTACAATTGGTGAAAACACAGGGAGAAGACTTTGGACTCATCCTCAATCCCTCCAAGTGTGAAATCATCACAGCAAACCAGGAAATAATCAATGCTGTGCGAAGAATCCTCCCAGAAGTCTCAACTACAACTCCGTCCAACAGTACCCTCTTGGGGGCACCGCTGGATCATCAGGCCATCGACACTGTCCTCAGGGACAAATTGAATGACCTGATGAGAATGGAGGAGAGAATAAGCAGTCTTGATGCCCATGATGCTCTGTATCTCCTCACAAGGTGTCTTACTATGCCAAGACTCACTCACTTCTTGAGGTGTGCACCCTCTTTTGACAACCCAACACTCGATGAATATGATGCACACCTGAGATCAACTTTTAAGGCACTGAACCTGTCACTAGAGGATGAGCAATGGGATCAGGCAACCCTCCCAGTGCGACTGGGAGGTATAGGGGTGCGTAAAGCAACGCATGTTGCTTTACCTGCTTTTCTGTCTTCGTGTTTGGCTTCCAGTGCATTAGTCAAGAAGATAGTGCCCGAACGCTTGAGAGATGTGGTAGGAGCTCAAGACCCCAGGTTTACTGAAGCAGCGATTCGGTGGGACACCCTTACAGACTCCTCCAGTAGACCAGCTCCTCCCAAACAGCACAAACAGTCCCACTGGGACAAACCGATCATGGAAAAAATCGCCAACACAATGCTCTCCAATGCTTCAGGAAAGAACAAAGCTCGTCTCCTGGCAGTGAAGGCACCACACTCAGGAGATTTCCTGTTAGCTGTTCCCAATTCCTCCCTGGGCACCCGTCTCGACCCACAAGCCATTCGGATTGGTGTTGCTCTTCGCCTAGCCGCCCCCATCCTCACCGAACATGGGTGTATTTGCGGCAGGGCGACATCTGATCAATTCGGACTTCATGGTCTCGTGTGTCACACAGCAGAAGGGAAGTATGCCAGACATGAGGAGGTCAATGATATAAAGAGAAGCCTCGCCACAGCCCGTTGCCCAGCTCAACGGGAACCCCAAGTACAGAGGTCTGATGGAAGTCAAAAGCGTCCTGATGGAGCCACTATGCTACCCTGGAAGGATGGAAAGCAGATTGCCTGGGACTACACCTGTGCTGCCACATTGGCAGACACCTACTTGCCATACTCTGTAGTGGAAGGGGGTGGAGCTGCCAGCCACAGGGAGACCCAGAAGATCCGAAAATATGAAGACCTTCCCCCTTGCTATAACTTCATTCCAATTGGGTCGGAGACCCTTGGAGCATGGGGCAAATGTGCTCTAAAGTTCCTCAAAGAGCTAGGTGAAAAGCTCATCATAGAAACCAAGGACCACAGGGCGACCAGTTTCCTTTTTCAGAGACTCAGTGTTGCGATCCAGAGAGGAAATGCCTGCAGCATACTGGGCATGCAGCCCACCGCAGGGGAGCTGGACGAAGTATTCGAGATGTAGCTCTGAGTTACCTATGTTGTTTTACTTTCTGTTGTATTTTTGTGAATTTTTTGGCCAATGTATTTTGTCTTTAAATAAAACATACTTGAAATATAGGGGGTGGTAGGAGAAAATTCTCAAACAGCTTCAGGGAGAACCTTAAGTTTTCCCTGAAGCAAGTTTATTCTTTTCTCTGAGGATGAGGGTCCCTACGACAGTTCTAGAGGTGGTACCTCCCTATATATATATATATATATATATATATATATATATATATATATATAATATATATATATATAATATATATATATTTTAATATATTAATGAAAGTGAGTGATTGAGTACCAGGTCTGTAGTAGAGTACAAAGTACAAAACCAAATTAATAATTTAAAAATATAGGTTTAGGCATGATATGGATGGTGTTCGCATGTGGTGGACACCTCTTAAAACTCCAACATGTTCACTGCAGGAACCATTTACCTTACACTGTTCTTTTTTTATTCAGGTTATTTATTATTATTATTTATTTATTTTTTGCTTTGGGTGATGCTTGTGGAAGGTGGCTGTGATGTTTGGCCCCGGGCTGATGATCTGCATTAATGCTTGAGACACTAGTGTTTTGGGTAATGGTGTTTTGATTTCGTGTGGTTTGTGGTGCTTATAAAGTAGTTACACTTGTTTTTATAATGGTAATTTGGTAGCCCTGCACCCATAGTGTAACCCATCTACTGAGGTAACTATTTGCCTCTCCACCCATCTACCAAGGTATCTACCTACCACCTCACCTACTTACCGCTACTAAATTGGTATCCCTTGTGTTTCTCTCCCTTTCCCACCATGTGCAAACATTTCCTGGCTGCTGCTGCCACCAAAACCACCGCTGCCACCATTGCTACCACCACCAATACCAACACTACAACAATCCCCGTTGCGTCAACACCACCACCACCATCAGGTGACGCTATGGTACGCTCGGCAGAGTTTAGTCAGCTGGCGGCGCAGATCAGCTCTTTGACCACCTCTTTCCACCAGGATGACGTCCTCACCTTCTCCTTCAACGATTCCCGTGAGTATCTTCCTGTTTCTTGTTGACGCTGTGGTGCCATCCACCCACCCACCTGCCATCTGGCACCCACCTACACCAATAGGCAGACACGTCAATGTGGCGTACAGGGCGCATCAGGGTTGTGGGTCAGCCCACCTCAGTATAGCGCAGGTGAAGTCAGTATAGTTTACCCTGTCCACCCATACAAAAGCAAGTCGCATATCTGAATTTTGAGGTCTTCATTGACTGTAAGTATGGCGTCACTTTTTCTGTTAGTTGAGTGACTGGTGATATTATACAGTAGATTCTGAATGACTATAAATATTGTGTCACTTGTAGATCTTGAGTAACTAAATATGACAACACTTGTTGTAAGCTGCGACATCTGTTTCAGACTGCAAACCACACTGACCCTCTCTTTATCTTGACCATGGAACCGTCAAGGGACAGATTAGCCAGAAGCTAATCTGATACTGATACCATAGCTCATGCACCGTCTCACTTACATGCTAAGAAACATAGCTTATGTATGGTATGGTGATACCGACAAACTGTGGAAAAGAACACTTGTGTGCAGTTCAGGACATTAAGTGAAACGTTTTGCCGCGAGTGGCTTCTTCAGTCCTAATTCAGAGTAAGCTAAAACAGGTTAATATATATTAGACTGTGCAGGTAACCGGAAGCAAAAGTGAGGTGAGGCGGGAGGTACATCAAATTGCAGAAACCTACCTGCTGAAAATCTCTCACCGGAAATGCTGAGAAAACAAAATTGAGCAAAATTCTTTTCCCTTCAGCCAACAACCCAAAAGATCGTCATTTTAGCAAGGAACCCATAACCTCTCCCTGGCCAAAATATTTCCTTCCATGCCCTATAGAGTGGGATGCATATTGTCACCATGAATAACGCAAACCAAGCCACCAACCTTTCGCATATCCTCACTATTGGTAACATCCCAGCCACAATACAGAATCATTCATTGATGATAAGTAAGACGCATGTGCAACAGTTAGGCAACTGTATTCAGAAATGTTTCGCCTACACAGTAGGCTTCTTCAGTCGAATACAAAGGAGGCAGCAGAAGCAGCCGAGATGTGAAGACGATGTAATCAGTCCATCACCCTCGAAGGATGGATTGATTATATCGTCTTTACATCTCTACTGCTTCTGCTGCCCTCTCTGTACTCGACTGAAGAAGCCTGCTGTGTAGGCGAAACATTTTGAAATTAAGTTACCTAATTATTGAACATGTGTCTTACTTATCAACTTGTCGGTATTGTATATCATTATCATATTCAGAATCATTTCTTCTTCAGTTGGTGCTTTGAGTGTCTCCTCATCCCCACATTATAATCTGTAGTACATGTATGGAAAAAAGTACCGACAAGATGAAGAATTACACACATGTAGACGTTTCTTCTTCCGTTGACTTTATCAATACAAATTCAAGAACATAATTGGCTAAGGGACTGATTACCTCATTTTTGTATATAGTTCTACTGTCTTCAACTGTCTTTCAGTTTGTATTGATAAAGTCACTGGATGATGATACGTCTACAATAAAGATACCCAGATGTTGCATATGTGTCTGATTCTTCCAAGGATACCCTAGCAAGAGTTTGTAAAATGCAGCGTGAATATTTACAAATACCAGCTGTATCATCTCATTGTCACCAAAGTTGAAGCTTATGTCGGTCTAACACGCAGATTGAGACGATATCAGAGCAGTGTAGCTAAATTGACCTTCGACTGCAGGAACCTCCCGTCCTCAGTCTTCGTCGTGGGACAGCACTCAAAATGAACACTATACACACACATGACAGGCAGACGCTTTTATAGAATTAAAGGCTGTATAAGACCTAGGAATAATGTCAGACGGTCTGTTGTTAAAGAACATAATAAAGCTAGCAAGGAGCTTTTTATATAGTAGTATATCATGGATGTCATGACGATTTCGTGAGTCATGGATGTCATCTAGGCCTGTATACTTTGTACATGTACTTGTAGAAATATAGATTATTATTATTCATTAAAGGTCAAGAAAATAATAAGTTGGTTTATGAGAAGTTTCAATACCAGAGAAGTCACTCAGGTGATGGTACTGTTCAGATCACTGGTGCTCTCATTTATGTACTCTAACACTAACTACCCCTCGCTCACTCCTTATCTTCTTACATCCCTACCATCGCAAATCCTTGCCAACAGCGATGTATGACTTATACGCGATTATTATTATTATTATTATTATTATTATTATTATTATTATTATTATTATTATTGCTGTTGTTATTCTTTACTCATTTCTACATTTAAGGCGGGCGAAATATTAAAGGTGGAAAATATGCATTACTTATACCTACTGATAGTATAAAGTACTGACAAATTAATGAATAAGACACATTTGTAACACATGGGTAGTTTTATTGTTGAAAAGTTTCACCTGCATAACAGGCTTCCTCAGTCGAATACAAGTGAATACAACACTGAAACGAGTTGTCAGTCACCTTAGGTGACGGACTGATCATGTCAAATCTACTTCTAGTACTGTATTTGTAATTCTGCTATTGTGTTGCATTTATCTCCTGTATTGTGTTGTATTCATCGCCTGCAGGCGAAACGTTTCGGCAGTAAAGCTGCCCAAGTGTTGCAAATGTATCTTATTCATTATTTCTTGTACTGCTGCATAGAGTAAGGAAAGCAACTACACTGCTAGGAACAACGCAGAGAACCCAAGTGTTGTACTCACTGGAGAGGAGGAATAAGAGATCCGTGATAATATATTGTATATATGGAAAAATGCCTTAGTAAGGTGTCCAATCTACACACTACCAAAACAGCTGTATCTCTCACTGTATCTCTCACCTGCATCTCTCACTGAAGTGAGAGATACAGGCGTAGAATAAACTTAGTGAAATGGAGAACGCTGTGGTTCCAGACTTCATCTTCCTAACAACACACATAAAGAAGTATTGCAGAGACGATGTTAGAAGTCTTTAAGAAGAAAGTAGACAAGTGCCATCTGGGCTGTGATGGCCATGCAGGACTGCGGGCTGCAAGTTGCAAAAGACCGAGTGATCACACGATCAACAGTAAAGTGATACACGGGAAGAAATAGTTTGTCCAGGTTTTACCGATTCCTGACCTCCAAGGTCCAATCATATCTACTCTTGAGACTGTGTATAGCCTTTGTCTACACCTTTTCATCAGGCGTATTCCACTCACCACCATAATACTGAAAAAGTAATTGTTAACGTTCCTGTGATTCATGTCACCTATGTGTCCTCACCTCTCATCTCAAAAAGCCTGTCCACATCATTTCTGTCTAATCCTCTGAATATTTTGTGTGTTGTGATCATGTCTCAACTAGTGTTCTAGCATTGTTAGTTTGCATTCCTCAAGTCCCATAATCCATCTTCCTATATTAGGTACCAAGCTTGTTGCGTACCTTTGAATATTTTCTAGGTTTATTATATGCTTGATCAGGTGCATATTGAATATTGGCGCCACATTTGTATGATGATAATATCTTGAATGAGTCCTTCTCCATCTTCTGAAAGCAGATTTCAGATCAGCTACTTTTGTATATATCACTGAAGTCCTATGATTTATATGCACCTTTAGTAATATGCTTAGTGCATTGTTTTCTTCTCGATTATTCTTCTTGCAGATTGTGTGCAGTATTTCCCTTCCTAGGCTCTATTTCGTGCTTGGTCTTTTAAGTCCCTATAATGTTTTTATCACTTTGCACTTTCTTGACAACAACGTTTCCAGCTTGTTCATGTCTTCTTGGAGTCAGTCAGTCAGTCAGTCAGTCAGTCAGTCAGTCAGTCAGTCAGTCAGTCTGTCTGTCTGTCTGTCTGTCTGTCTGTCTGTCTGTCTGTCTGTGTCTGTCTGTGTCTGTCTGTGTCTGTCTGTCTCTCTCTGCTTGTAATCTTCATCATTAATTAATTTCATCTGGCACGTCATACTGTATTAAGGATAAAAGAGGTCCAAGCTACGGTTGCCGGGGATTCCACTTGTCAAACCCGTGCTTCCTTTCATACTTATTATTACCGTTTACCTTTTATTCATTAAGTATTCCTCTGTATACTTGTTTACCTTCCCTGCTATCCCTGCCTTGTTTATTCATTAGTATTCCTGTATATATTTGCATACCCTCCCAGTTTGTACAGAAACCTCCTGTGTGGTATTGTGCCACATGCTTTCTTAGAGTCGAGTAAGATATAGTGTACCCAACGTTCCTACTCTTTTATTTCCGTCACTTTCATGAAACGCTGAGGATTCGTGAAGCAAGAAGTGTGTGCTGAGGAAGGGAGATGATTTTTTTTTGAGGGGGGAGGAAGGCGGAGTGTGTCGTCATCCCGAGATACACGAGGAAGACTGGTGGAGGCAGCGGAGAGCTCATTACCTCGCCTACCCTGACAGATTCCCACCACATTGTACCTAAATTAGTTCCGCTTAGACAGCTTGAGCGGTGCCTAGGCAGTTTTAGCATGTACCTCCTCTTTACCTCAGCCTTTCTTTCTCTCACCTCTGCCTCTTATCCCCCGCCATCTGTATTCCTCTCCCCTACGTTTTTCTTTCTTTCTAGTTTCTGGCTCGTGTTTCTCTTTTCCATGGCCCTCCTCAGTCCCATAATCTTCCTTCTACCGCGACCACCTCTTTCCTGTCCCTTGTTTCCTCCCGTTTTCTGCTCTTTTGTCTGCTGCCCAATGTTCTCGCTTGGAATTGCTGCTTGGCACACCACATCAACAGGGGCGTCGTCACCCCTGCAAGCAGAGCGTGAAAGTTGTAGCAGTCACATAGAACCCACACTACTCTCACCACCACTTAATTAAAACTCCTCACTTACTTCTTATTAAAAAAAAAGTTATTTTTTTAGTGCTGTTATTATAAGACCGGAAGCTACCGGGCTGCGACCTGAGTGTTTATATTTCAAGATTCCTCCCGAGAGATCACTAAGTATAGCAATGTCACTCATCCATTGAGTGTGCATAAGTCATACTTTTCAGACTGATTAATT